GAGATATTAGTGACCTAATGTTTAACTTGATAAATAAGGTCAGAATTGGTGCCAGAGGTCCTTTGACAACAAAATTGTAAATACTGCAGTGAATTATATATCTACAATATTTTTGTACTTTTATAACAACTAATATTTAAATGTTTTGACTGATTTCATCATGAAAATTGATTTTTTTACAAGTCATTGTGTATGTATAAATGAATTTCTGTGGGAATTCTAATTGAAATATGATCATGATAAATGTCAATTTGACAAGAAAGTTTTCAATTGAGGTTCTTCAAACAGGCCTTCAGTTATGTTCAAATTTATTGTAATATGTCATAGACAATTTAAAATAATTTTGGTGAGCAATCATGTATTGTTTTATGATATACTATTTTATTATTATACCAGGCACTACATTGATTTAACAATGTAAATCATTATATTAGAAAATCATTTCATAATTTTTAGAAAATTAATAAGCTTATGTGATTGATGTTCTTGTTTTTATCAATTTTATTGTGATTATAGTGCCAGAAAATATTAATCATCAAATCTATATAGAATATATTCAAATTTTGAAATAAAAAGGCATGTATGAAATAGAAAATATTGAACCTGCCATTTTGTAATTGCATTGAGAAGTCTTACTTGAAACTGGATTGTGGGAAAATAATGATTCTAAAAAAAATTGCAAAAAATTTTCATTTTTAAAGACAACAAAATAAGTCAGTTTTTAACTGAACCTGTAATTTTTATCTAACCAAATTGTATAAAGACCGAATAAAACATAAATAACTAATTAATTAGTAATTTATGTTCAGTTTATCATACAATTTTCAATGCAGAAACATTGCTATTTTGTTCATATATAAAGTTTTGGTAAGTCTATTTTAAGACATGTCAGTAGCTATTTAAAATACCTGTGGGAATAATAAAAAAACATAAAGGAATAATAAGTTATGGGACTTTTAACAGTCATATTTGACACAAAATTTATAGGACTAAGGGTATCCGAATGCATATTTTTCTACAGAGCCATTTCATTTGCTTCTGATTAAATGCCTTCTAAATATCCCATGTTATTTTTGCAACAATTTTAAAATGCACGATAAAGTGTATCATGGGCTCTTTGAGTAGCTGTTGATTGTACAAAGTTTTAAATTGGTAAGTTCAAAATTTATAAATTTTCTATGGCATACTATTATATAATAGTTTAAAATTGTTCTTACAGTGATGCAAGCAACCGACTTAATCACTTAATTTTAAAGTAGAAATAAGGGTTAAAATCCAATTAACCAGCAATCATTTCTTCTGCAATAATGTATTATTTTAAAGGATCATATTGGGAAGAATTAATCCGTTGATGGTCCTGTTTTAGAATTATTCCTTACCATACCTATTGTTGAAGCATTGATATATTTTTTTTAAACTCTGCAGGCATGAATAATTGATTGGAAATATTTCAACTAGTAAGATGAGAAATTTTTATGCTAGAATTGTTTAGAAAGGAGAATTTTACCATAAGTGTAGAATTACTTTAACATAAAACTACCTGAAAAGCTTTATAAAGGTAAAAAGAACATTGAATAATTATGGACATGGAGTCTCATATTTTTTTTTTTTTCTCTACAAATTCAGTTATAGAAAAGGAAATGAAAACGATGAAAGTAACAGACTCGGAAGTTGACCGTGTTCTTGATCGGTATTTAATGGATTTAACAATAACGAACATTTTATTAAGATTAATTGACTTGTACTTTTAATTAGTTTGTCCTCATTATTGGGGTTATATAGAAAATAACAAAACGTGATTGTGAAGTGAAATGTGGGTGTCAATGATGTGTTTTGTAATTAGATGTGTTATATCCATTATCTTGTTGGTTAATATCATTATCAGTTGATGAGCCCATCTTGAAGAGATTCCACAAAAGGTTAATGAAAAAAATAATTTATAGAATTCCATGAAATTCATATCAAGGTATTGAAGTGCAGTTATTAAGGTGTAGATCCAGTCATTTAAGTCAAATTGTTGCACTGGCATGATTGTATATCAGAAATTATGCCAGATAGCCTTTAAAAACATCTAATCTAAAAGAATATTTTCAGGTATTTGGGATTTAGCAATTTCTGACAAAAAAAGGAAAGCATTGACTTTTTTATGTCAACTATAATAGTTGAGGGCATATTGTTTCAGGTCTGTGTATATGAAAACAAGAAGATGTGGTATGATTGCCAATGAAACAACTCTCCACCAAAGACCAAATGACAACTATAGGTCACCGTACGGCCTTCAACAATGAGCAAAACCCATACCATGTCCATCTCTCTGTTCAGTATCAGGTTAAAGTTTTGGTTTAAGGTAGTTTACCACAAATTTGTGGTCACATCAACTACACAAGTTTGTTATAATGTGATCTTTTTTAAATGAATACCAAATTAGGATTTGAGCCAGATTTCTGGGTTTACTTTCACATGTATAAAACATGAAATATGATACTGTGAAATCAGTATACATTCTCAGTTAAAAGTTTGGGTTTAAGTTAGTTTACCATGAAGTACTGGTCATATCAACTTGAAACATATTGCATATTTTCAATGTGATGTAAACTTTCTAAAATAGTTATCCCAAATTAAGGTTTTTGACACATTTGGAGCATGGTGTCCAATGGACACATATTCTTGTCCAGGCACTGATTCAGACCAACACAGTCCCCCTAAAAAGTAAAATAAAATGTAATAAAGGAAAGTTACAGTCAGTTTAGTGTCAAAATAAGGCCCCTAATTCCTAATTCACTGAGGGGCCATCAACAGTTGTTTGGAACCAGAATTTTAAGAAAAAAACATAAAATAAATCTACTGTTTAAAGAACAGTCTAAAAGGTTTCAAATTTTGAAAATAATGAAACAAATTAGGAAACAGACATACCCCTCAATTTCATACTGGGTGTTAAACAATTAATGTTCAATCAATCTCTTTCGTGCATATAGCTAGTTAATATTAAAACATCCCTGTATTAAAGAGTATTAAAGAGTATTTAACTTTCCCACTTATTGAGTTGTTTACTGTATAAAAAAAATAAATTAAATATTGATGATGCAAAGCTGCATGTTGTTTTAATGAACTTGGTAAATTTTCAGCATATTTGGTTTCAAGTAATTAACTACCCAGAATCATATGATGTTCAATTAATTCATGATTAGAAAGTTGAGAATAATTCATAAATCCCATTTCGTCCTATCTGTAAACAGCATGCACAAAATTTATAGTCATTGAAAATCCTTTCTGGTTGTTATGATCACTCCTGAGTAAACTTCTCTCACATAATGGAAATCTAATGCTATTATGACCAAAAGGGAAATCTCTTGTCGTGAAATGTCAGGATCGCTGCTCAGAAACAGTGAAGTTATAGCATGTATGTCATTAATCAACAGTACCAGGAGTAATGCCTTTTGTTTTAAGTAGTTTTATATTGAACTTAATTCCATAAAGTATTTATATTTTTTATCATCAGGATTAGTTCCATATGATATTCGGTTTTTAGTTAATAAAAATTGATTGTTAAGTTTTATAAGAATAACTTTCATTCGGTTACTTCAGGTAATAGGATAGAATAGTGAAATAGAGCAAGAAATGATTTCATTATTAATAGATATAACACTTGGAGATTTCTGTCTGGACGACCTGGGAGTCCGGACTGACCGACTTTAGATACAATATTAAATTTTATTCAGTTATGAATGTATGCTGTCTTATCTAATATCATGGTATGATTTTGATAGACTGAAATTGGGGCAAAATGTTTGTTTCTGGATGATATCCTTTTAACCATTTGTCAAACGTTCACCAAACTAGCTTGAGAATGCCCCTTAGATAAAATAAGACTCTATTGATTTTTGGGTCAAAGGTTAAAGTCACAATGCACATAAATAGACTGAAATTTTGGAAAAAGTTTCCATTAGGAACAATATGTTTCAAGGCTAAAACAAGATCATTACCAATCTTTGGTGGATATCATAAAGACCCAGTATTGATTTTTGGTTACTTGTTCAAAGATCTCAAGGTTCATCAGCAACAACAATTTCTGATGAAAAAGAATGATGATGAGCACTTCACATGAACTTTAACACAAAGACTCTTGTAGGGGAACAATTTGCAAGAACTGAATTTTATTCATCTTATTTATAGCCTTGTAAAACTTATTTTTAGCCTTGTAATTCACCTATGTTACAAGTTTCTCTAACCAATTAAATGGAATGCTTTCTTGTAAGTTGTTGTGATGTGTTTCTGATTGTTGTGTTTATTAGATGAGGAAAAATGGGACAGAATGTTCATTGCAAGAATAAAAACAAGCATCATTATTTACATCAGTAATGTTCTAGTCTAGTAACAGGCATAATTCAATGTCAAAAACAGCCAAACAGACTAATCACCATATTCTGGTCACTTCTTATCATAGACATGAATATGTAATAAACCATTCCAGAGAATCGAGAAAAATAACCAAATTTAACCACAGCTGAAAATACTAGGGACAAGAATGTATAATAAGTGAGCCTCTGTCTTGTTTAATTAAGTCTTAAGTGTTTATAAGTTGATTTAATATTGTAGTTATCAGCACAGTGATGGCCGTTTTTATCTTAAATTTAATGCCAGATTGTTGGTTATAAGGGTATATTTATACAACATTTCATGCATCTCCATCACATGCAGGCAGACAATTTCCATCACACGCAGGCAGACAATTTCCATCACAAATTTCCAATTATTGTGGCCATAAGCTTTGTTTAACAAACTGTTAACACATAATTTTAGTGCTTTCAGTGTAAGAATCAGTCCACTTATATAAAAGATAAAAGCTGGCCTTTTACTTAATTGTATCCATGAGGAATATTGACATTAAATTATGTAACGTTTCTGTTTCAGCTGTACATGCATTCAGACATCTATTACATTGGATTTCAAAGTAAAAGCAACTGAACAAAGACAGATAAAATCTTTCTTTCTCTTTTCAGATTTTGAAGAACTTGACAATCAGATAAATGATTTAAGAAGGGAATTGAAGCCTAAAGTCAGTAAATTACGTGATATGGAGAAAAAGGAGGATATAAAAGGATTTAACCTCAATCCACTGTCAAAGGAGGAAATGAAATCAGTAGAAGAACTTATTTGATGAATTGGAATAGAGCATGTGTACTAATTTGCAGGAAATTTGAAGTTGCAAGTTAATGGAAATATCAAAAAGAGGTGGACAGAGTGAACAAAAAACATATATGGTTCAATGATTGGCGCTCCATCAAATCATAATTACTCACTACTGAACAAATTTGTCTGTCTTACAGCAATAATCAGTTATATATCTTTTTTTCAATTTTTTGCTGTCAATTGATGGGTTATAAAGGGACTTGGTTAGCTAAATACGATTCCATATATAATTTTTATCTGATAGAATTCCAACATTCATTGAAATTGATTTAACTACTGAACTGACTAGGCCATCTTCCTTGTGATATGGGATTATCAGTAATTAAATGATAATGGTAGTCCATCGAACTGTGACAGAAATTAATGAACGTTTGTTATTTTATTTCATTATTTATCACTTTGTTAGGAAAATTAAAGATAATAAAAACCTATTATATATGTTTTTTTTCTGCATAGTGTTAATGAAAAGCAAACAAAAACTAACTTTCTATTAGTAAGTCAACATTTTGTCACATGAAACTAATAAATCAAAGGTAAATACCAGACGAAAACTTTATTTACCTCAAATCATAACAAAAACCAAATCAAATGATTTTATTCTGGACGAGAAAAATACAAAAAACAAATCTCTTATATAGGTGTGGGCAACATTAAAATACAATTAGATTTTTACTAATTTAAAAGAAACAAAGTTCTCGTTTAGGATATATTTTACACCACTAAACATTGTCTGAACAAGCTAGCAATATCTGAAAGGACTTGGTTTTGAATTACTAGGACTAGAAAAAATGTCTTAAAACAAAATCTTACAGGACTTCATTTGTAAATCACTAAGATGAAAAACAAATTTACCAAACTAGATTTTAAAATTACTAGGACTAGACAGATTGAAAAACCAGAACCAGACAATTTCTTAGTTGATAGGACTATGATGAGTCTTGATACACAACTATTGCAATGTCTATGCTAACAACATAATCTCACAGGAACAGATTTTTAATCTCTGAAAAAAGCCAAATCATTACACTTTCATTAGACAGTATTTGAAAAAAAATCCTACAGGACTAGATTATGTCTGATATAACAGATATTAAGGGGTAAGACTGTATAAAAAAATCTAACAGATAAAAGCCATATTTAAACTGATAAAGCATATGAATATCTAGACAGGACTAAACATTATCTGAACAAGAGGTGTCTGAAGACTTCATAGTTTCTGAAGAAAAAGAGCTACAACACATTATAGTGAACAAATACATATATTTAATGTGAACAAACACAGACTTGATGTACATTTAAACAAGCACAAATCTAACAAGATAAAGCAAAGTCTGAACTGTTAAGAACTACTGGACAATGTCTTAATAAAAAAATTAAAAGTTACGATAGTGGCTGGAAAAAAAAACATATTGCCTAGCTAGGACTAGCACAATAACCACACTCGCTTGTACTGAGCCGATACAGTGTATAATCAAAAAGTGATCTTATAATTCGACGAAATTTCTGATGAAATGGAGATCTCACACAAGAACTAGATATCTGAACAAAAAGAGATCCTACGCTATAACATATGCCATGCTAGAACCTAATGTTGAGCAACTACACATCTAGAACTAGGACTAGGCAGTCCCAATAATGAGAGATCGTATATAAGACTAGAAAATATCTGACCAAATACAAATCTCGAACAAGGATTAGACATTGTCTGAATAAGGGTGAAATCCTGCCCTAGAGCCTTATGTTTTAATAAATTTAGCAACCACATATCTAGCGCTAGGACTCGATAGTTGCTAAAATCACAGATCTTACACAGGGCTAGACAATGTCTGATCCAGCACAGATCTTACAATAGAAATTGAATATATTTGACCAAGAACACATCATATACTATTATTATAATACATTGGACAAAAACAGATATTGCACAAGGATTTTAAGGAATCTGACTAAACACAAATCTTACACAATGACTAAACTTTGTATCGACAAAAACATACCCTTCCTGATTTCCTGAATTCACCCTGTTTTTTACGGGGTTGTTGTATCTTTAGTTTTCTCTGTAATATTTTGTTTATGTTGTATGTCTTTTTGCTGTTTTTCTTTTTGACAATGGTTTTATTTGTTTTTATTAGACTTATGGTTTTTGTCGAGCCTGCGACTTTTGTCGCAGAAAGCTCGACATAGGGATAGCGATCCGGCGGCGGCGGCGGCGTTAGCTAACTTCTTAAAAGCTTTATATTTTAGAAGGTGGAAGGTCTGGATGCTTCATACTTTGTATATGGATGCCTCATGTTACGAAGTTTCCGTCAGTCACATGTCCAATGTCCTTGACCTCATTTTCATGGTTCAGTGACTACTTGAAAAAAAAGTTAAGATTTTTTGTAATGTTAGATTCTCTCTTATTATAAGTAATAAGATAACTATATTTGGTATGTGGGTACCTTGCAAGGTCCTCATGCCCGTCAGACAGTTTTCACTTGACCTCGACCTCATTTCATGGATCAGTGAACAAGGTTAAGTTTTGGTGGTCAAGTCCATATCTCAGATACTATAAGCAATAGGTCTAGTATATTCGGTGTATGGAAGGACTGTAAGGTGTACATGTCCAACTGGCAGGTGTCATCTGACCTTGACCTCATTTTCATGGTTCAGTGGTTATAGTTAAGTTTTTGTGTTTTGGTCTGTTTTTCTTATACTGTATGCCATAGGTCTACTATATTTGGTGTATGGAATGATTGTAAGGTGTACATGTCTAGCGGGCAGGTGTCATTTGACCTTGACCTCATTTTCATGGTTCAGTGGTCAAAGTTAAGTTTTTGAGTTTTGGTCTTTTTTTCTAATACTATGTGCAATAGTTCAACTATATTTGGTATGTGCGTACCTTGCAAGGTCCTCATGCCCGTCAGACAGTTTTCACTTGACCTCGACCTCATTTCATGGATCAATGAACAAGGTTAAGTTTTGGTGGTCAAGTCAATATCTCAGATTCTATAAGCAATAGGTCTAGTATATTCGGTGTATGGAAGGACTGTAAGGTGTACATGTCCAACTGGCAGGTGTCATCTGACCTTGGCCTCATTTTCATGGTTCAGTGGTTATAGTTAAGTTTTTGTGTTTTGGTCTGTTTTTCTTATACTGTATGCCATAGGTCTACTATATTTGGTGTATGGAATGATTGTAAGGTGTACATGTCTAGCGGGCAGGTGTCATCTGACCTTGACCTCATTTTCATGGTTCAGTGGTCAAAGTTAAGTTTTTTGAGTTTTGGTCATTTTTCTAATACTATATGCAATAGTTCAACTATATTTGGTGTATGGAAATATTTTATGATCTATTTGGCAGTCACACAGGTTTTATTTAACCTTGACCCCATTTTCAAGGTTCATTGCTCAGTGTTAAGTTTTTGTGTTTTGGTCTGTTTTTCTTAAACTATAAGCAATAGGTCAACTATATTTGTTGTATGGAAGAATTGTTAGCTGTACATGCCTGCCTAGCATGGTTCATCTGACCTTGACCTCATTTTCATGGTTCATTGGTCAATGTTAAGGTTACTTGGTTAATGTTAAGTTTATGTGACAGTTGTAATAAAGCTTTATATTTAGGACTATCAACATAATATCAATGATTAGTAAAGAAGGCGAGACATTTCAGCGTGTGCACTCTTGTTATATTAAGACTAGACCATGTAAAAACAAAAACAGGTCATGCATAAGGACTAGATAATGTCTTTGCAAAACAAAATTTATCTTTTTGGTTATTTGTATCATTAAGTTGCTGCCTCATTGGCATATACTCAATTTCTTCCTTTATTCATACTAACACGAGACAACAGTTAACCAAAAAAGATATTACACTAAAACAAGACGATGCCTGAACAAACTTAGATATTTCAATTAGAGTATTATTAAAGCAAGATAAATCTTGAACAAGAACAAGACATTCTGAAAAATAACAAATCTTAAAAAAGGACTAAACAATGTCTAAACGTTTTTGTAAACTTAGTTGTCTTTATGTGGTGACTAGCTAGATATTTTCACAATCTTACAGTCCAATTTATCCAACCAAACAATCCATTTTGTATAATAATGAATATCTTATTTTCAAATTAGAGGCAACAGTAGTTTCCTGATGTTCAAATCTCATAAATCTGTTTCAAAGATACAAATCAAAGGTTGTAATGAGTATGATAGGTTTAATGCTACTTGTAGATAAACTCATCATAGATGCCAGGATTGAAATTTTGTACGCCAGACGCGCTTTTCTTCTACAAAAGACTCATTAGTGACGCTCGAATCAAAAAAGTTAAAAAGGCCAAATAAAGTACGAAGTTGAAGAGCATTGAAGACCCAAAATTCCTAAACATTTGGCCAAATATAGGTAAGGTAATCCATTCCTGGGGTAGAAAATCCTTAGTATTTCGAAAAAATTTTGTAAAAAGGTAATTTAAAATAATGACCGTATCCATGATAATTCATGTCCACACAGAAATGCTGACTACTGGGCTGGTGAACACAGAGCAAAGAAATAAAAGATGTCAAAAATAGTTTAAAGAAATACAAGATGCTTAAACAAAGTGCAAAACGATACTACACAATTCAAATCAATTCAAGATGTAGAACATGCAAAGCAATACAGATGTAAAACATAGTGCAAATCTATACAAGGTGCAGAACAGAGTTTAAAACAATACAGGATGTAGAACATAGTGTAAATCAATAAGATAATAATAATAATAATAATAATAATAATAATAATAATAATTCTTTATTTAAAGAGGGTTACACAGTTAGCTATAAAACTAATCTTTCCTGAGGCCCTCATGAAATACATTGAAATATAACAAACAAAAAAATACAAAATAATCAAACAAACACACACATAAGAAAAATCATATAAGAAATTGTTATGAAATATATAATTTTCAAAACCGGTAAAAAATGATGAATTCATATAGTATTGACATCATTCAAATTACCTCGACAATATTTAAAGTTTATGTAAGTGTGTGAAAAATTATTACCGGTATGCATATAAAATTACACAGCTCCTGAATCATTGTTAATGTTCCATCAAGTAATTTTTTAAATCTTTTTTGAAAGAGCTTGTACTTGAGGTCGAGGTTTTTTCAAGGATTTTGGTAAGTTATTCCATAAAATAGATCCTGGATATATAAAAGATTTCTTGTACAGCTCTGTTTTGGCTTTTGGAAATTGCAATGTTTTGCAAGACGAATTCCTCAAACAATATTGGTTATTTTCTGGCATGTCTTTAAATTTTTCAGTTAAATATACAGGGGCTTCATTCTTAATGCATTTATGCATCAAAACAGATTTATGGTGTGAGATTCTGTTTTCTACTGTCATCCACCCAAGCTGTTTAAACAGAGGTGCTGATGCTGAAAGTGGATCAGCATCTAAGATTAGTCTTGCAGCCCTTTTCTGCAATTTTATCATTCTTACTAGCTCATTTTTAGCACAACCACTCCACATAATACAACAATATGTAGAACATAGTGTAAAGCAATACAAGATGTAAAACATTGTGTAAAGTAATAAAATATGTAGAACATAGTGTAAAGTAATAAAAGATGTAGAACATAGTGTAAAGTAATAAAAGATGTAGAACATAATGTACAGCAATACAAGATGTAGAACATAGTGTAAAGTAATATAAGATTTAGAACATAGTGTAAAGTAATAAAAGATGTAGAACATAGTGTAAAGCAATACAAGATGTAGAACATAGCGTAAAGTAATACAAGATGTGAAACATCGTGCAAAGCAATACAAGATGTAGACAATAGTGTAAAGTAATACAAGATGTAGATGTAAACAATACAAGATGTAGAACATAGTGTAAAGTAATACAAGATGTAGATGTAAACAATACAAGATGTAAAAAATAGTGTAAAGAAATACAAGATGTAGACAATAGTGTAAAGTAATACAAGATGTAGATGTAAACAATACAAGATGTAGAACATAGTGTAAAGAAATACAAGATGTAAAACATAGTGCAAAACAATACAAGATGTAAAACAATATGCAAATCAATACAAGATGTAAAACAATATGCAAATCAAATCAAGATGTAGAACATTGTGTAAAGCAATACAAGATGTAAAACATAGTGCAAACAATACAAGATGTAGAACATGGTGTAAAGTATTACACGATGTAGAACATAATGTAAAGTAATACAAGATGTAAAACATAGTGCAAAGCAATACAAGATGTAGAAAATAGTGTAAAGTAATATAAGATGTAGAACATAGTGTAAAGTAATAAAAGATGTAGAACATAATGTAAAGCAATAAAAGATGTAGAACATAGTGTAAAGTAATACAAGATGTAGATGTAAACAATACAAGATGTAGAACATAGTGTAAACAATAAAAGACGTAGAACACAGTGTAAAGTATTGCAATACAAGATGTAGAACATAGTGTAAAGTATTGCAAGATGTAGAACATAGTGTAAAGCAATACAAGATGTGAGTAATACAAGATATAGAACATAGTGTAAAGTAATAAAAGATGTAGAACATAATGTAAAGCAATACAAGATGTGAAACATAGTGTAAAGTAATACAAGATGTAGAACATAGTGTAAAGTAATGCAAGATGTGAAACATCGTGCAAAGCAATGCAAGATGTAGAACATAGTGTAAAAAGATACAAGATGTAGAACATAGTGTAAACAATACAAGATGTAAAACATAGTGTAAACAATACAAGATGTGGAACATAGTGTAAAGTAATACAAGATGTAGAACATAATGTAAAGCAATACAACATGTAGAACATAGTGTAAAGTAATACAACATGTAGAACATAGTGTAAAGTAATACAACATGTAGAACATAGTGTAAAGTAATACAAGATGCAGAACATACTACAAATCATTACAAGATGTAAAACAAAGTGTAAATCAATACAAGATGTAGAACATAGTGTAAAGTAATACAAGATGCAGAACATACTACAAATCATTACAAGATGTAAAACAAAGTGCAAATCAATACAAGATGTAGAACATAGTGCAAATAAATTCCAGATGTAGAACATAATGCAAAACATTACAAAATGTAAAACAAAGTGCAAATTGATACAAGATGTAGAACAAAGTTCAAAACAATACCAGATGTAAAAACGCGCAAAGCCTAAAATTTTAAAGCCAAGGATGTATACCAACCGAAACAGTTGAAGAGCTATATGACCAAAAAGGACCTAAAACAGTGATTTATAACAAAAAATGGTCAATCAAAGAAGGTCTCAATCAAGATGCCAAAATAAAAAAAGAAAAAGGACAAACGTCAATTCAAGAAACACAACGCAGAAAACACTATTCTAGCAAGGCACATCCTTCAATTCGGGGGACTTGAGAGCTTTGATTCTAAAATTGAAAGATGTAACTGGCCATGAAAAGTAAAAATTCGGTTCGATTATAAGTCATAAACCAAGAAAAAAGATGGGAATGTCGCTATGAGAAGATGTAAACATTGTACAATTTTTATAATGCAAGATGTGTAATATAGTGCACAGCAATACTATTCATAGATTATAGAGCAATTCAATACAATGCAGACCATAGTGCAAAACAATACAATGCAGACCATAGTGCAAAACAACACAATGTACACCATATTGCAAAACAATACAATGTACACCATAGTGCAAAACAATACAATGTAGACCATAGTGCAAAAACATACAAAAAAAAAAAGAAAAGAGAAATAACAAAAATACCGAACTCCAAGGAAAATTCAAATTGGAAGGTCCCTTATCAAATGGCAAAATCAAAAGCTGAAACACACCAAACGAATGGAAAACAACTGTCATATTCCTGACTTGGTACAGACATTTCCTTATGTAGAAAATGGTGGATTAAACCTGGTTTTCAAAACAATACAATGTACACCATAGTCCAAACCAATACAATGTACACCATAGTGCAAACCAATACAATGTACACCATAGTGCAAACCAATACAAGATGTAGAACATAGTGCAAAGCAATTCCAAATTTTGAATACAGTACAAAGCGTTGCCAACAAGAAGATACAAAGGTGGTGATAAAAAACTTGTCAACCAAAGAGGAACTGACAGTTAATAAAATGATCCAATAACCAAAGAGGAACTGACAGTTAATAAAATGATCCAATAACCAAAGAGGAACTGACAGTTAATAAAATGATCCAATAACCAAATAGGAACTGACAATTAATAAAATGATCCAATAAAAAAGACGAAAGGACAATTTTTAGTTCAAGAAACATTACTCAGAAAACTATTAATCAAGCCTTTCAAATTCGAACATCCCGGAATGGAGTGCTTTGGTTTGGAAATTGACAGTGGTTCTTGCTCCAATATTGTCAACGGTCGTGTTGGTCGTGAACAGTGAAAATCATTTTCTGTA